AGGTGGTTCTGTGTGAAATTACATGACGATTGCTTACAGTGTTGTCGAAGTCTGCATTCAAATTATTTTGGGGGGTTTTAAAAGTTTACCAACTCAATTAATAAAAATGTTCTCCCAGTTTGAACCTCAGATGTCGCTTTATGTGTGGCCTTTCAGATACCGTATCAAGGAAACAATATCTATCAAACTTCTAGACATATTAACATTGAAGCATGCATTTTTTATGACAACAATACCCATAACTTGAATGTCAAGTTATATCAATACATTTCGTTCAGTACCATCACTTTCTCTGCAATTCTTCTGAAGACCACTGTTCCAAAATATTTGAAACAACAAAATTAGAATTGGTTCCAACCGAATTGGAATAGAAACAAAAAAACAAATGGTGGAAGTGATTACTTTCCCAACGGAAGTACGAAACCCACCATGGGTGGAATTGTCAATTTTGCGAAGGCACTGAATGCGAATCACGTTGAGATGGAAGCAATGTACCGGACTGCGGAGGAGAAAGCGTTTTTCATCAAGTTCAAGTCGGAAGAATCAATGCATTTTGCATTGCAGCATAACCCTGAGCAATTAGCTTTCAACAGTGCTGCAAAATTTCGACAATATACGGTGATATTCAAAATGCTACCTTGGTCACTCATTTGAGCTAATAGCAGGGTGTCCATTCAAATAAAATTTTTCAATTCCCGGTTTTTTCCATTTTATTAAAAAAAAACCACAACCCAAAAATTACCTCTGCTTTATACAAAAAAAAGACGTTCAAAATTAACCGTTTATAGATAATCATATATTTTTGCCAGCAAAATTGCTCTACAATACGTGATGATCTAGATCTTAAAAACTTCATGGAATTCGTACAAAATCAAAGAGTCTCGCAAAAATGAGCCTAAATGTTGTTTTGTTAAGTCAACAAAATCATGTATTAATGGTACCTGAACAGGAGAAACGCAGTATTATTTTCTTTTAATCTTCCTGGAGTTTAGATCTTAAAGATCTATAAGTCAAACAACATTTTGTGGGATACAAATATGTGTTACAAACATATTTATCATTCTCATTTTCATTATTGTCTTGAAGGTTAATCGTAATCTTGTCCGATTTTCACTTTTGAGCATTTTGAGTCTCCGTTCATAACATAATTTAAAATTATCAATTGTGTTTAAAAATAACATTGTTTGATTATCAAAATCATTCTGGATATCTGTTCTTGAAGTTCTGCAGACTCAACAGGGCATACGATTATTCGACTTAATTCTTAATTTACCATTCTATCAGGAAGCCCCATAATATCATTGATTTGGATTATTTGGTTTTCCAAAATGCCTGGAGTTCAGATCGTTATTCATTTTTGATGAAGTCACTTTAACACTCTTAGAACATTTGCGACTTAAATTTGAACTCATGATAATGATGATTACCCCTGGAAATGTTTGAGCTGGATGAATTATCTCTAAGATAATTAAGTACTTTGTCTTTGGCGTGAGAGGTATGGAATCAGATCTTTATGTTTTACAGACTAACCGAGGTATTCTACGATGTTCTAACTAATCTGGTATAGCTGGATAGCACAAAGAGCAGAAATTATTTTTAATTTATCTCTGGACGAATCACCTTAGTTCGTTGATTGTGTCATGTGTCAAACATTTGCATGCCAATCATGATGAAGCTTATAAGGATTTTGAGATCGGACATTTCAGGCATAACATTTGATAACGGCACAAAAGCATTTGTAAACAAACTTTCTAAGGCCCTTTACACGCGAACCAAAGTACGCCCACGCAAACCAACACATCAACCACTTTCCGAAAGTGGTATTGGTTTGCGTGGGCGTACGTTGGTTCGTGTGTAAAGGGCCTTAGAAAGTTTGTTTACAAATGCTTTTGTGCCGTTATCAAATGTTATGCCTGATTTATTTATTGGCAAATCTGCTTCTTATATTCAAGTAGCTTCGTAACATAATATGTCTGGCTCAGGCTTTATACTAGAACTTCCTCACTCGGAAAATTGCCGCAAAAGAATTCAAACATTTTCTTCAATTGACACCAACAGAAATTCTAAAAAATAAGTAAATAAAAATAAACCATGTCAATTTTCAGTGACTATGCTGTAAGTGACAAACATGTGCAGATTTTTTCATTAGCTAAATTTGTAACGGAATTGTCGTGAACTGCTTGAATAACAATAAGCTGACACAGAATGCACGAAATTACACTTTTTGTTATCAGGTGAATGTTTGTCATTCGGCACGAGCATAAGCACAATTGACAGCCCGCGGATGCTACTCCGTTATTGCCAGATCAGCTGACTGTAATTACACAGAGAACCAATAGACGTTGCTTGGGACTAGCAATCATCCTCAATGTATAAAAACTGATGATCTAAAATTAGGCAATATTAGCGCTGGCCGCGTCCGAATGCAGGTCAAGAAAGGATTGTGAAGGAATGCGTTGACGTGATTCTCGCTTTGTTGGAAGCCGAGAAATCACTGGGATGTTGAATAAAGGGTTGGGTATGCAGCAAGGCTCGTTCGGGCAAACGGTACGCTGAATTACAGTGTTCGAAATGACGACTGAACTCATGATGTTCTGCTCAGTAAGCAAAAACGGTCGCTCTAAGGCCACCGAGCCCCTCATATCACATCACACCACTGCTGATAGAGGTGTTGTAGCCATTCAAACCCGGCACCGATGAAACGACGATAAGTTTAACCAAACACTATGAGAAGGCAATGTGACTATGAAATACTTGACTATGATGGGGCTTGGGTTTGATCCAACGATTTTCGGCTCAGTAAACAAAAACGGCTGTCTGAGGCAGCCGGGCCCTATGATGGAGTTAATGATATAACCGTTCAAATTTCTGATATATGAATGATATATTCCGTTCTAGATTTGAGGAAACATTATTCTAACAAAATTAATGCATTTTCATTTGAAATGCAAATTTTCTTGAAAGTTAACCTTTGCGTCTCTGACGTATTTTGCTGTCCTAAATGTTGTAGTTAATTGGGCTCTAGTTTTCTCAATTGACCGATTCAAACCAAACACATAATCGAGAAATTCCCATAGTTTCATAAGTCACACTTATTGGTCAGGTCGCGGTTCTGAATTTACAGGGATATTACTTGGGGTCTGTCCAATGGTGAGACATTTTCATTATTATTTTTTTTTAATATGAACCTTTTCGTTGTCAAATCATAACCGAATCGTATATATGTGACTTTGTGACTTATTACTATGTATACCGGAAATTATAGGTTTTCTAAATCGTCCAGGACATCAGTTGATTTGTTCTACTAGATCAACCAAGACTGCAATAATGTATGTAGTATCGAAAAATGTCGAATCAGATTCAAAGTGTCTATGTGGATCATGCATGATCTATTTCCGAGTAATCCAGATGTTCAAGGTTCTTTAAATCGTCCTGGAGTTCAGATAATTTGATCTACTAGATCAACCGAGTTTGGGACAATGTCTTTAATATCGAAATATTTCAAGTCAGATGCACGGTGTCTATGTGGATCATGCATGAACTATTGTCATGTATACCAAATGTTTTAAGGTCTCCAACTCGTTCTGGCGTTCACACGATTTATTCAACTAGATCAACCATGAATGGGATAAAGTATGTAGTATCGAAATATGTCCAAACAGATTCATAGTGTCTATATGGATAATGTTTAATTATTTCCACGTATACCAGATGATCTAGGTTCTCCAAATCGTCCTGCAGTTCAGATGATTTGTTTTACTAGATCAACAAAGACTGGGATAATATCTGTCGTATCGAAACTATCGATTTGGAAATACACGAGAATAGGTTGGCATGATCCAAATATACGCTGCAAATTTGTTTGGGCATATTTCGATACTACAGATATTGAATTAGTCTTGGGTGATCTAGTTGAAAAATAATCTGATTTCCAGAATGATTTCGGAACCTATAACATCTTGTATAAGTAGCAATAGGTCGGGTACAATCCACATAGACACTTTGAATCTGTTTAGACATATTTCGATACTACAGACATTATTGCAGTCTTGGTTGATATAGTAGAACAAATCAACTGAACTTCAGGACGAACCTAGAATATCCGGTATACATGGCAATTACTCGCATATATACGATTCGTTTATGATTTGACAACGAAAAATGCTATGTTCATATTGTAAAAAAAACTACAAGGGACAGCTCTATGGGGTTGTACGCAATCGTGACGTAGGACTACGTAGTCTTATATAATAAATGGTAATGTGTATCTTTATTCAGCCAGGTATTAATCTGAACCATATTTTAATTATTTTTCTTACTTCATCTTTATATTTTCATTTTCTGTTCTATTTACCATCGTACAGATTTGTCTTGAATCTGATGAAATATTGCTTGGAGCCAATGCCCATGATTGTGCTGGGTAATTAAAATTTTTATTCAACAGATTGCGTTCAACGTATCCACATCGTATAATGGCCACACCAAGCAGACCGCTCGTAAGTCCACCGGAGGAAAGGCTCCTCTCAAACAGATGGAGGAGTGAAGAAGTCTCATTGCTACCGGTCAGGAACTATCGCTCTGCGTGAGATCCGTCGTTACCAGAAATCGACCGAGCTGCTGACTGCCAGTTGCCTTTCAATCGTCTGGTCCGTGAAATCTCCCAGAACTTCAAGACCGATCTGACTCCGGAGACGAACCAGCCCAGGGCTGAAAGTCTCCTTAATAAAGATATATAAAAAAGACCGATCTGCGCTTCCAGAGCTCGGCCGTTAATGGCCCTACAGGAATTCAGCGAGGCCTATCTGGTCGATCTGTTCGCCATCCATGCCAAGCGTGTCACTATTAATTCATGTTCTATATTCGGTTTTCACAATCTGAACATACAGAAATCACAGACGTCCTACGTCAAAAGCGTACGGTCGTGTCATGGATGCAACCTCTTATTCTTTTTGTCAACATTATTTTCATAAGGCAAATCAACTGATTTCTTATCACGAACTTTGCTAACGCTGCTTTCGAACATTTAAAAGTTCAATAAATCATCAATACCTCTTTCACGGTGGAAATCGATTTGTGGCCCTGAAAAGGGCCGATTGTTTGGATGGTACGAATTTATTTGGAGTTAGTGTACTTGGTGACGGCCTTGGTTCCTTCAGAGACAGCGTGCTTGGCCAACTCACCCGGCAGCAGCAAACGGACAGCAGTTTGGATTTCGCGGGAGGTGATCGTCGAGCGTTTGTTGTATTGAGCCAGACGGGACGATTCAGCAGCAATACGTTCGAAGATGTCATTGACGAAGCTGTTCATGATGCTCATGGCTTTCGACGAGACTCCAGTGTCCGGGTGGACCTGCTTCAACACCTTGAAGATGTAGATGGCATAACTTTCCTTCCTGCGTTGCCTCCTCTTCTTCTTCTCGCCCTTAACGATGACTTTATGAGCCTTGCCGGACTTCTTGGCCGCCTTTCCGCTGGTTTTCGGTGCCATGATTTAGCTGTTAGCTTCGATAGAGAATAACTAATAGTCGTTTCGACGATGGTGTCTCGTTTTGTGCCCGTAGCATAAGAAGCGAGACTCCTCCCCTTTTCAGTGTTTTGCTACCCACTGTACGTATTGTACCCTCCCTGTATTAATAATATGCTACTCGACGCAGGTATAAGTATACCCTCGACGAGTGAAATAAACCATTCACGCTAAGCGTGTCACAGTTATGCCAAAGGACATTCAGCTGACTCTTCGTATTTGTCGTAAACACTCTTAATTTCTCCGTTGTAATCTATCAAAACCGGCCCTTTTCAGAGCCACTAAAAGATTCCACAAGAGAGTTGGGAAGGAAATTTCCGCTGCTTACAACTGATCGCATCACAGTGAATCCTGATCTAAAAATTGCAACCAGCAAGTGCTCTAAAACCAAAAGCGATGCGATGTTATGGCGATGACTGTAAGGGGCTTAGAAGCAGAAGGGTGAAAGCCAATTCGCTCTCTCGATTTCCTCTTTTGTGATGACCATAGCTTCCTATTTCGCACTATTTCTGCTATGCTCTGCTATCATCCACAACAATAAACTTATCAATGAAAGTGTTTGCCGTCGAGTTAACGTTATCTGACCGTGCACTTCGCAGTTGCTCCTCCGTGAATGATCACAACTAATCCACTTGCACAGAGAACTATATAGATGGGTGCATGGGATAAGCTTTCCATCTTCAATGTACAAGCACATTAATTCATTCTATAGATCAATTCACAGCGCCGGCCACGTCCTCCCGGTCTTTTGGGGAGGGAAGGATGATTAGTTCGACATCCGGTTGTTACTAGAGACCGAGAATACCTCTACAGCTCCACGGCTATCTCGGGAAGAATAGTAGTGTAAGCGAGCTAGGTTATTTTTAGATTAGGATTCACTATGGTAAGTTATGCGATCGGTTAAGCAGAATTTGTTCTTTATTTAAATCTAGTGGAGATAGAATAAGGCAAAATGAAAAATTGCAAGGGGGGGGGGGGAGGGTAGGGGATTGAACTCCCTGCCTTCTGCTCAGTAAGCAGAAACGGTAACCACTGAACTACAGAACCTCGTCGTAATGCTATATCGACATGTTTCGTCTACTTACTACTCTCTGACGACTGTGCTGGGAAAGCAGCATATGCATGTACGTAATTGGTGGATTTGTTAATTATTTCGACGCTTTTGGACAATGCTTGACATTTACTCTTTTTTCAATAGTTTCTTGTTGAACATCAACAGTCAAAAGCATTGATATCGATGCGTAAGCGTAGCACTGATCGATTGGTGATAAAATTATTGAAATTGGTTCAGGGGCAGCTGAGTTATTAACGTTCAAAATCTTTCATAATTTGTTACATGTTCCATTTTCAGTTTTCAAAAAGTGTACCCCCATATAGAAATCAAAGACGTAGTCCTACGTCAAAAGGGAAAATGTCTCACATTGGACAGACCTCAGGGAATTTCCGATTAAATCCGGTGTGATTTATGGAATTGAGATCATTTCTCGATTATTTGCAGGGTGTTTGGTTTGAACCGGTAAAAAAATTGAGAGCCAAATGAACAACAAAATTGATGACAGCAAAATATTTCGGGACGGAAAGGTTACAATGAATTTCACAATTTTTGTGACAGCACATCAGTCCCTGTTGAAATCCGCGCCTGTTGTAACAGCCCTGCAAAGGGCCTACCATTTCTGACGATAAGCACAACGGCTTAACAAAAAGGGCCTTCACAAAAAGGCTTATTAATTTATTAAATTGAATTGTTATCCATTGTTACCAGGTGAATATTTGTCATTGACGAAAAATTGAAGGAGATTTTGACGGAGGATTTTTTGGGGTCAAGTCTATCAGTGACTATTTGAAAAGCAATTTTGTCAATATAGTGCGAAAGTCTATCAAAAACAATGACAAATCTCAGCATTGGCTTTCACTATGCCGATGGAAAGGCAGTGAAGGTACACATGTCGCGATAGACAACGTTCAATATGTGCGAGTGTACGATCGGAGGTCCCGGATCGCGATCTAGCGTTGGTGGTGCTAAGGACATACGGTAAGGTTAAAAAAAAAAAAATCCTGCGGAGCTGGGCCTCGACAAGCACACAGGTATCCGAGGTGTATACATGGATGCGGAGAAAGAGATACCATCAACGCTTTGTTTCCTCAATCGGAAGGGAAAAAATTTTCTATGACGGGATCAGGAACAAGTGTTTCATGTGTAAGCTGGAGCAAGCACCGAACGAATTGCTGCTCCAAGCGAAAGACCCAGATGCAGCCAAGTAAGACAAACCAAAAACAGTACGAAGTGTAAGAAATACGTTCGCTTGTGTAGTGGTAGAAGATGCAGCTTCGGACAACAACGACAGGGAAACCACAGACAAACAGACGTAATTCTTTCTCCTCAATCGTCGTACACGCATTTAACGTTCAATTTAAATAAAATTAGTTTCACGAATCCCGCACCCCATCGCTGACTTCGGATCACTTTGGCGTTTCTATAAATTCTATCGAACTTGTCTGCAACATTGTTTGCGACTAGGAAAGCAAGAATTTTTTGCATGTCGTTAATGAGTTCTGTGACGATGTTTTAAAGGAAAATTTATTTAAAGTGTTACGTCTGTTTGGCTGCCGTTTCCCTGTCGTTGTTGTCCGAAGCTGCATTTTCTACCACTACACCAGCGAACGTACTTCTTACACTTCGTAATGTTTCTGGTTTGTCTTACTTGGCTGCATCTGGGTATTTCGCTTGGAGCAGCAATTCGTTCGGTACTTGCTCCAGCTTAAACATGAAACACTTGTTCCTGATCCCGTCATAGAACATTTTTTCCCTTCCGATTGAGGGAACAAAGCGTGGATGGTATCTCTTTCTCCGCATCCATGTACACCTCGGATACCTGTGTGCTTGTCGAGGCCCAGCTCCGCAGGAAATTATTTTTTTTTTACTTGAAGATGCTAATTTGCAAGTACTTGAGAAAGATATGGTAGAAATAGGACGGAACGACCCCGGAGATCGAGGATACTTGCACACTGAATTCAGTTCACCGAGGTTGGTAAAATGTTACCGGGTTTCTGAACAGCTGAAAAATTTAAAATGACCTCCTGAATAACTTTGTCGAAGACAGTAAATGTCTACCTGTTCAGGATCTCGAGCTATAGAATATGCGAGAATTGCACGTGCCTACTAGCACAGCGTAGTAAGAAAATTCTGAACTACTGTTCACCAACGAAAAGATCTTGATTTCCTGAATAACTTTGCCGAAGACATTTACTTTATATCTTTGGAGGCGAACCAGCCCAAGGCTGAAAGCCTCCCTAATAAAGTTAAATTAATTAATTACTTTCTATCTGGTCAGGATCTCGAGATATATCACATGCGAGAAGTTCACATCCATACTAGCGCTGCGCAGAGAGAACATTCTAAATTACTGTCCACCAGCGAAAAGGTTAAAATCTCCTGAACAACTTTGCCAAAGACAGCAACTTTCTATCTGGTGAGGATCTCGATATATTCCATGTTGTAACCAATTAAGTTAAATCTTACTTAGTATGGACATCGTTTACGTGGTTTCCATTTTCGCTACTATCCGCATTTTTGGGGGTTTACTGTATTCAAGGTTTAGCTTATTTTTTCAGTCGTTAAAGTTGTCGGTTATGATATCGGTGTTGTTCGCGAGTTGATTCGGTCGGTGAGGAGCTAGTGCTGTGCCTTCCAGACTGTGTACTGGTGAACTGAAGCCGTTGTGTCGCGAGTGATTGGTGATGGAAAGTGTAGTGCTAGAGTGTGTTTCGTGGTTGATGGGGGTTTACGCTGCTGTGTGAGGAAGGAGAGTGCTGTTTTTAACACCGGTTAAAGAAGTAACGGCAGCATAACTATGGCAGCTCTTCGAAATCATCGTGATGTCATGGGGAGAGTGGAAATGCCTACTCCCTGTCTTTAACATTTCGTGAATAAAGGGCAGGCTCTTCTCCCCCACTCATAGGGGCATCCTCCTGTTAGGTGGCTTGTTTTTTGACCGGTTGATGATCCTGGTGTTGAAAGGAGATTCTCATTTATCCCGTGAATGCACGTGGGCGATGTTGCCCACAAATTCACCCAAACCCTTTTTGGCCCTTTATGCAATGGCAGGTTGAGTACAATTAGAGGTTATTAAATTTGATCAAGTCGAACAGCGAGAACAGTCCACAGTCGACCGACAGTTGTCTTGCTACAGTAGTAGTTCCATATCATCATCATTTACTGTAATCAAAATTTAGCTTGTTTAGTTCAATACAAGTTTTTATGAGGAATACCCGTTGGTTTCAGATCGATTGGCAACTGGGCAGCAAAATGGCAATGGAAAACTCACACTGATGTACAAAGTAAGCAAAGGTTAAAAAGCTGGGAGTTTTGGTATTTCTGAATGTTCCTCCCAAAGTGTCCAAAGTGATTTCTCGCAGTTCCGGAAAGGTCTCTTAGTGCCATCAATTCCGGAAGTAGTTGCACCCAACTTCGAGAGTTACCGAAGTATTTAGACTGCTCGAAGTTTCAGCATTTTAAAGCAGGTTCTGAAGCTCCGGACTTCCAGAAGTTCATGAACTTTCGAGAGTTCCCGCAGTACGAGGTGTATTTCTAAAGTTGCTAGTAGTTCCAGAGTTCAGATTGGTCGGTATTTATGTGGGACGATTGGTGTACCCCCCGGTGAGAAACGAAGAAAAACTTAGTTCAGTAGTTACTATCGACCGATGCACACGCATCTTCACGTTTGTAAAACTTTAAATTTAATAAAGCTAATTTCTGTATTTCTCACCAACTCCTCTCCCTCTTTTCTTACATGGGGGCTCGTCCGGGAAGGAGTTATCGAGAAATTGTTCGGTTGACGCGTTAATATCGCTAAAAAGTGATTAAAAGTTGATATGAGAAGAACGCCATTCCTCATTCAAAATGGCGGAACAAGTGGATGAGTTGTGCGGAATTTTCACGAAAGCCGGATTGACGCGTGAGTGTGAAAAGCGTGGCTTGTCTTCGGATGGGTGCAAGA